TAATATATTCAAAAAATAAAAATAAGTTAAGTTTTCCAACGGAGCTAGTACGAGTACCCGGTTTTACAAGTAGATTAGTAGAATGCAAATTTTGACGAGAAAAACGCACGCGGAAGGGATTTACCCATGACAAAAATGTTAATCACTTTTGGCAACAAAAAAAAAAAAATCCAAAATTATATTAGTTTATTAATATTTATGGCTTTTTAATATTTTATTATAAAAATTTATTTTATTATTTAATAATTACTTTAAAAATTTTATATATTAATATGATTATTAAATTATATAAAAAATTAATTAAAATTAATTTAATTATAATAAATTAACATTTGTATAAGATATTATATGAAAAACTGTTACAGAAAAATAACTTCAAATGCAACTTAAGAGTTTTAGATTTGTTTTTATGTTGAATTGCATAATGAGTTTTAATTTCTTAACTTATTCCATGCACATATAATATGAGTCGAACTGAAAAAATTTTATTTTTATTGAAATGAAATGATAATTAAACTATTTAAATTATTAGATTAAACTTCTTGCCTCAACCTATGACTTCAAAATTATCATGCTCCCTGTTAGGTACCTAGGAGTAGTGGAGTACCTTTAATTACAGGAAGGCTAATGAAGAAGGATCTTAAGCCATTGGTACCCAAGATCATTGAAAGAATGAATTCTTGGACATCCAAACACCTATCTTTTATTGGTTGATTACAATTAATTTCATTTGTTATTTAGGGGATTACAACATTTTGGTGCTCCACTTTTATCTTGCCCAAGAAAGTAATCAAGGAGGTGCAAGTGCTTTTCTATAGAATGGCTCAACAGAAAATGCAAAAGCGTGCTAAAGTTAGTTGGCAATTTGTGTGCTTCCCCAAACAAGAAGGTGGCTTGGGATTAAAAAGCCTTACTCATTGGAATAAGGCATGTGTACTAAGATTCATTTGGATGAATTTTCACAAAGGCAGACTCCATTTGTGTTGCTTGGGTTATTAAGGAGTACTTCCTAAAAGGGAATAGTTTTTGGAACATCAACATTCCTTTTGACTCATCTTGGGGATGGAGAAAAATTCTCAAGCTCCAATGCTATGCCAAATGCGTAATACAACATGTACCTGGTAATGGCATTGATATTTTTTTTATGGCATGACTACTAGCATCCTACGGGGCCATTAATTACAGCATTTGGAACTAAAATTGTTCTTGACTTGGGTGTGCACTTATTTGCCAAAGTTTCCAAAATGGTAAATGGCAATTTCTAGAACTAGTCTCTTGCTCACTTCCCACAACTTGTGCATATTCAAATGGCTTGTTTTGACACTCTATATCCTAAGAGTGAGGAGAAGGACTCAGTTATTTGGATTGCCTCTACCTCAAGAGTGTTTAAAACAAGTAATGCATGCATGACATCCCATATGAGCAAAGTAGGAGAAGGTTCCAGATTAGTATGGTTTCCTTATGCAATCCTTAAGCATAGTTTCATTTGTTGGCGAGCACTCCTGGATAGACTATCAACAAGAAGTAGGCAAAAAAAATAGACTCTTAGTATTGATGCCACTTGCCTGTTCTATAAAACAAGAGTGCAAACAAGCACTCATTTATTTTTTTATGTCGCTTTACCAAGCAAATATGGCATGTTATTTGTGTCATGATAGGAATTCTCTTATTCTATTTGTGTTATGATAAGAATTCCCTTATTCTGCTCTTGGCAAGGTTTATTGGCCTAAACAAGGAAGCATATTAGAAGGAAATCCTTGTATTGTATCCTTGTTAAACTAGCCTAGAATGCTACAATTTAGTACGTTTGGAGGAAGACAAATAACAAAATCCAAAGGCAACATTTCTAATCTAATTTATAGGTTGTCCATAATATTCATTTTAATGTTAGAAATAAGGTTTTGGGCTTTACAAAGCCAAAATCTTCATCCTTGACATGTTGTAGCAGTGCAAGGAGGTTAGAAGGCATTATACAGCTACCAATGCAATTTTAGCAGTAAGATATCCTTAAAAATTATAGTTATAAATTAATTGTAGTAGCAACTACTACTTGAATATATAGAATAATTTTATTTGATAAATAATATTTTTATATTTTATTCAACAAAATAAAGCTTTTTAAATTTTAAAATATGAATAAGATTGTTTTAAATATTTTCCTCATGCTTTAATAAAAATGAAATAGTCTTCCATTTACAAGCTTTGGTTGATAAATTATACTCAATAATGTTATAATTATAAAGTTACATAAGATTATAAATTTATAATCTTA